ATTCACTTTTGCAATAGCTTTCTTGGGATGAGACAACTCTGATACCGGTGACAAGCTGTCCTTCTGGGTTTTCTTGGGAGGATCATTAACCATTTTTAAATAAATAAATTGCTTCTATTCGCCATACAATTTAGAACATGTGCCTTTGTGACTTCATGCAAGGTTCTTGTTTAAAACTGTTGGTTTCTCAGATGATATGATTCTTCCTGATCTTGGTTTTATTTTCTGTAATGGCCTATCATTCAAGGCTCTCCAAATTCAATATGGAATGACATCACCTGTTATTTAAGCCAGCTCCATCCAAACATAGCCTTCAGATGTGGAAATCAATCTCTCTCTCTCTCTCTCTCTCTCTCTCTCTCTCTCTCTCTCTCTCTCTCCTCTCTCTCTCGTTGTGTGTGTGTGTGTGTGCATGCTGTATGTATATCAAATCAGAAACTTATGTTTTCTTTATATCTTGTCCCATTTGTGTAATAATTTGAGCTTTTAATTAATTCTTCCCTCTTTGGAATTATTTTCTTCAAACTGTAGTAGGTGTTCCTCCCTTGGGTCATCTTACTAGCATTGAAAGGGGACACTGAATGTTTAACTCACCCATTTGTGCACTAGTTTCACCACGATTAAATGGAAATTGTTTAAAAACAAGAAGAGACACTATCACTCCTAGACACCTGGAAACTGATTCCACTCCCCAAGCCCAAGGGGCTTGACCAGTCCTAACTGGCTCAAAGTCTGGGAGAACCCAATGAGTGGAGCTAGCCATCTTCTTAAAGATTTGGCCATCTTCGATTTAAAAATCAAAAGTCCTCAGTGAGTGTATAAGTTTTCTCTGGAGCAAAGCATAAGCCATGAGCAACCACAACACTAACCCAACAGGAATTGAGCTTAATATGACAAGATCCTCTCTTATGAGGACATAGCCATCAGAAGCCATGTACTAAATCAGGCGCTCTTCTCTTGGTCCCTGTAGCAGCCTATGGCTTTCACAAGAATACAGTGTATGGAGCTAAACAAAATGGAGATTTGCACATTCTATAGTATGTGTGTCCACTGGTATGAGTTATCCTATTCTCTCTATATAAGCCTGCCTGTTCTGGTTGCCTACCTTTGTGGTATCCTGAAACACACTGAAATGTTCTTTGTTCTCATATTTTCTTCTCTGAAAAAAAACAAAAGTAACTATGACTGTTCAGCTCATTACCAGGGCCTCCCCAAACCCACCACCCATGTCCTGCTGTGCAGTGGAACTTCCAATATTTAACTGTGCAGATAAACATAATGAAATATTTCTTATTTGACTTTTGTCTTTAGTAGCCTTAAAGCTATAATTCCAAGGAACATTATTACTACCTGAGCCGAACTGAAAACTTTGGGCTCTAAAATCTAAGTGCCTTCTTAATTAGCTAGAAAATACTAATGAATAGAAATTTTTCCCCATTTCTGAACTCCCTTCCCACTCTTTTATTTTAAATTTGAATTCTATTTTAATACTACATACTTTTTTTAACGCACAAGTAGATTTTCTTATTTCTTATTTGCATTCACATATTAGTCCCTAAAAATTAGATATTCTGGTTCAGGTAATACTATTCACAACAAAAACCAAGGGCTCTTTCCTCCTCTGGGGAGAGTTTGGGGAGAGAAAAGTAGAGCAGGTTGCCTGCCTGAGCAGCACACAACGGTCAGTGTTATCACCCATGCATGCCCGTTATATTTCCCCTTCCCATCAGCTCTGTCATGTCATTATCACCAGGTTCTCAGTGAAGAGACTGTCACAGAACACTTAACATCCAGCATTACAGACCCAGAAGTGATATAGTTCAGTCATTTTACCCTTAAGCCCGCAGTCCTGTCTACTCTGCTGACTAAGCATTCCTTAAGTTGCATTACAAACTCCTTCAGGGCAAGGGTTATTATATTTACTCCCCACCTCACACACACAAAGCAACAGTCACAAAACTAAGTGGGGTTCTCTCCCTCTGGTACTTAGCTTGTTTGGGAAATATGAGTTGTGCTCTACTGTATCCAAGGATTTACCTGTGTCATCATTGATACTTCTTATTGCTTAACTTTGTTATACACAAGGACTTTATCCCTGTCTTTAAAGAGGCATTGTTTCTTCCTGACAGCCATGTGTATATAGGGGTTGGCAATTTGAAAAATAATTCAAAGAAAATGTGTTTAAAACTGAGATAACAGTTCATATTTTGAGATGCTCATTATTAATTCCAGTATGAAATGATTTGTACTTGTTATTAACACATTAAGACAGCCAAGGAAAAATTAGAAGGTGACTCAACAGGAGGCATTCAAATGTGGAAGAAAAAAACAGAGGAAAACTTCTAATGAGCTGAGAGCATGTTTAAGAAAGGTCTATCCATCTTAAAGTTTTATTGGTTGATTTGAAGATTGTAGGCTTATTAATTAATTTATTTTTACCTGATACATAAAAATGTGACAATTATAAATAATGGGGCATCCCGTGTGATTTTTTTTTAAATGTTCTAAATAGGTGATGTATTAGAATAAACCGAATTGTCATCTTCTGAGGACTATACTAGATAATATTATGGCACATTGAATACATAAACCTGAATACCTGTTATATCAAAACATCTTAAATAATTTAACATTTTATCACTAATTCAAGAAATACAGTGTGATGAGGCATAGACACATATCCTTAGGGTTGAAGGAAACTTATCTTGTATAACGTAAGAAAAATGCACTTACTATCCAAGAAAAAAAAAAAAATCATGTGCCATACAGATTCAAGTGTGTGTGTTTGTCTGTTTATATGTATATGTGTGTGTCTGTGTGTGCTCGACTCGTCTGAAAAGAACATGGTAATTAAAAACTAAAATTTGCTAATTAAGATTGTCAGCTGCTCTTTCATGTTTGTGCTGTCACATCGTTACCTTGTTTTTAGCAAGGTAATAATTTGTTGAACCAAAATGCATTCCTTCTTTTCTGTTTATCTTCTCCAATTTGAGATTATTAATTTGTAGTACACTCAGCTCTTTAAATACTTGAAAATCAGTGAGAGTTTCAAGGTGTCTCCTTCCCCGTTTCCTTTTGGAATTTAAAGTTAGTTACTTCTGAGAATGTTGTACCTGGACCAACTGTGTATTTTTATCATACTAATGATAATTTAGGGACTTAATCTGAAAGGAATTAGCCTTCAGATCACCTGAAGAAGTAAAAAAAAAAAAAAAAAAAATGATGTGAAACTGAATTTTTTTTTTTTTTTTTTTTTTTTTTTTTTTTTTTTTAAAAAAAAAAAAAAAAAAGAGGACGATAAATCTTTCACTGTGATATATCAAAATAA